TCTCTTCTGCATTAGAAAATTTCCCGGATGTCTGGTAACACTTGGTTGTGATTAAGGTCGTGTAGGTGGGAGGGAGGCTAGTCAGAAACTCTGAGCTCAGAGGTTGGGTTTGCCACCGTAGGGTGGGCTGGCTGGGCTGTTTCTTATGTCAGTATCTTTAGGTCTTTCCTCGTGGACTGGTGAAATACCCCAGAGTAGTGTCTTCCAGTTTCCTGCCTAGGTCCTTCTCCCAGCACTTGGGGACCCTGATGGTGGCAGAAAGCTCAGCATTCAGCATTCCGCATTCAATATGGCACGGTCACTTAATCCCTTTGTTTTCAGTATTTTTCAGTATGGTATCTCCATGCACAACTGTGCTCCAACCCAGACACCTTGTATCTTACATTCTTCAGAGGAAAATCCCCCAGACTCTGGCTGGCATAGGGGAGGGACTGTTGCCCAGGGGCTTGGAGCTGGGGGAGAGATGGAGGGATCTAACTTCTCATCCTGGTCCTTATCTTAGCAACCTCTTCCACCTCTTACCTCTGGGAATCCAGAGGTACCTTGGACTCCCAATTTCTGTGCCTCTGAGAACCTTGCCATGTAGATCAAGTTGGCTCTCAATTTTCGCCACTGCCAGCTGAGATGTCTTTCCTTGGGGCTGGTAAGTCAATAAATAACCAGATGGCTGGTCTGGCATCCTGCTTCAAAAATTTTGTAACTGTTGTCTTTTTCCCTGTTCTGTCTACCCTTGTAGGTTTATCTCTTGATTTAAAAATCTCTTTATGGAAGTTTTAGTGGGGTTTTAGGAGGGAGTGAAATTAGATGTACACATTCAATTACCATCTTAACTCAGAGCCCTAACTTCCCTTTTAAAAAATATAATTAGGGCTTCCCTGGTGGCACAGTGGTTGAGAGTCCGCCTGCCGATGCAGGGGACACAGGTTCGTGCCCCGGTCTGGGAAGATCCCACGTGCCGTGGAGCGGCTCGGCCCGTGAGCCATGGCCACTGAGCCTGCGCGTCCGGAGCCTGTGCTCCGCAACAGGAGAGGCCACGACAGTGAGAGGCCCGTGTACCACAAAAAACAAACAAACAAACAAAAATATGTATATATATATATATATATATATATATATATATATATATAATTACGGGGAGGATTGTTATTGGTCATAGAGGATTGTTATTTTAATGTACTGGGGCATGTTTATTTCTGTCTTTTCATTTAGAAGTCCTTATCTGAACATGATTAGCAGGAAATGAGCTTTTCTATGAGGAGGATTCAAGGAAAATGTCTCTAGTGGGATAACTTTTATTTAGTGGGATAACTTTTATTAAGTATATGAGAGAAACCCAGAGGCTGGATCCCAGTATGCAGCCTCCAGGCAGCCCCTAAATGACTAGGGCGGTTTCCTACTAGAGGAGGGACCCTATAGTGATCCCTGAGGGTGCATCCAGGGAAAGCCCTTGGCAATATTTTATTTAGAGACTCAGAATAAATCCCAGACTTCATCGTTGATGTTCCCTGGATCAGTTAGTGGCCTGAGTTTATCTTACATCAATTGGGGGAATTCTGTGATAAGAAAGTGAGTTCTGGATGCCTTTCTGAAATGCAACCCATTGCCCATTTGGGCCCTAGAATCATTCATTCATTCGTTCTTCACTTTGCTAATATTCATTGAGCATGTGCCTGGGCCAAGTGCTATGCTAGCCATTCTTGAGATAGATCCGCCCTAGGTAACTCTTTTTTTTTTTAATGCGGGCTCTGGAGCGTAGGCTCAATAGTTGTGGCGCTCGGGCTCAGTTGCTCCGTGGCATGTGGGATCTTCCCCGACCAGGGCTCGAACTCGTGGCCCCTGCATTGGCAGGCGGATTCTTAACCACTGCGCCACCAGGGAAGCCCCTGGGTAACTCTTTAAGCACGCTCTCCCCATCCTTGCAGAACAGCAAGGTAGGGGGATCAGGGTAACATCCAAGGCTGTTACCTGGTGACACTCATTTTTCTCTCTGCGTGGCCTATGATGAGGACTAAGTGAGGAGACACCTAAGCATCCAGCATGGTGCTTGGCACACTGTAGAATGTCTGGGTTTTTTGGGACAGCTTTGTATGGTGCAAGAAACCTCCTGTGTTTTATGTTCGCCTGATACTTTCAAATACTAACATTTTGGGAGGGATTTATTTATTTATTTATTTATTTATTAGAAATTTATTTATTTTTGGCTGCATTGGGTCTTTGTTGCTGTGCACGGGCTTTCTCTAGTTGCCATGAGCAGGGACTACTCTTCCTTGCGGTGCACAGGCTTCTCATTGTGGTGATTTCCCTTGTTGCGGAGCACGGGCTCTAGGCGCGTGGGCTTCAGTACTTGTGGCACGCGGGCTCAGTAGTTGTGGCTCGCAGGCTCCAGAACGCAGGCTCAGTAGTTGTGGCACATGGGCTTAGTTGCTCCGCAGCATGTGAGATCTTCCCGGGCTCGAACCCGTGTCCCCTGCATTGGCAGGCGGATTCTTATCCACTGTGCCACCAGGGAAGCCCTTGGGAGGGATTTAGAGATTCAAGTCAGCGTAAACGAGCCAGTACTACTTAAATCAGTCACTGTGACAGCGTGATAGGGTCCATGAAATATCCACAGTGACAGCCCTGCTCTTTAGTTATCTTCAACACTGGCCTGCGTGCTCTTATATTCCTGGCCTGCACACTCTTTGACTTCACTGTTCTCCTCTTGCCCCTTATTGGAAACAAGTTGTAAGCCACCTCTCACAAGGTGAGAGACATTTCTGAAACTCTTCAGTATTTTTGAGAGATCAGTTTTAGCAAAAAGAAATGTTACACACGGATTGACACTTGGTGGTTCACCTGTGAAGTGTTGGAGGCACTTCCAACTGTTGAAAGCCACCAGGTGATGGAGAAAACAGCAGAGGGACTGGGTTCAGGTTGCCCAGCTTTGTAATCCTGGGCAAGTTCGTGAGTTTCCCCACCCACCCCGGGCCTTAATTTACCTATCTGTGAAATAGGGACACCCACAGGGTTGTGCTGAGGACTAATGAAATAAGGGGTGCAGACGTGCTTATTACACTTTCCACTCACGGCTTAATAAACATAGTGGTTCTTCTTGCCGGGGGTGCCATCCTGGGCGGGCTGCCGTGTGTGCGCGCGCGCGTGTGTGTGCACACGAGCGTGCGCGTGGTGCTCTGGCCTGCGGTGTTTCCTGGGGAGGGCGTACGAGTGGATGTGTGTGATGGGCCGCCCTGGGAGCGTGCGGCTGCGGCGCCAGGCTGAGAACGCGGTGCCTGCGCCTGCCGCGGCTGGGCGGCAGCGCCGGGTGAATGAGCGCGCGTGGGGACGCGGGCACGGAGGCGGCGGCGGCTCAGCGCTGCTGTGCGCGCCCGCCTGCCTGCCGGCC